TGTTTTGGGTCATATTTATGCAGAAATATAGAAAATTCAAAAGGGTTCACAAACTTTCAAGCACCAATGTATATACTCAAGTACTTACTTGAACCCTGTTAAACTGCTGGTCCAGGTCCAGGTTTATACCGTCTTGTTTTTCGCCAGTACGCAGACTTGTGTTGTCTGTAGTATCTAATGCATTTCCATTAGGATCATCTTCCTCTCCAATTATTCTCTTCACTGATGTGTTCTCAGGCATGTTTCCATTCTGTTTAACCATCTGGTCCTTTTGTATTCCACCCATTTCTTTCTCTTTCCCAACGTTAGAGATCCAGTCTAGAAGACCCTCGATCTTAGTTTTGCTCTCTTCAAGTTGTTCAACAGCTGCTACCTGTATTGTTGCACATAAAATAGCTTTGGTTTACTGAAAATCACAGAAAATCCAAAGATACATTTGAGAGCCATCACAAACAAAATGCAATAGAGAAAGTGACTAAATTCAATCTGTTGAAATCTTTTGGTTGAATAGTGTTTGGGAAAGTGTTTTTCCCCTCTAACCGTCTCAGTCTCCTGCTTGATAGCACTGGTCAAAACCTTCTCTAGATCTTTCCTTGACTCTTCTGCCCTCTGGTTAAGCATGTTCACTTTGCTCTTCAATTCCTCCAGTTTGTTTTCAAGAGCCGATATTTGCTCTGGAGTGAGTTTGCTACGATTCTCCTCCAGAAACTTATTTGTGCTACTGATGACTTCATTGAGAGCACTGGCATTAGCCTGCAAGTCTTTCTGTAGAGCCTGAGAGAGACCAAAACACACACACACACACACACACACACACACATAATTAATTGCAACAAGCCACATAAGGCCGTGCATTACAGTAATTTTACCACAGGTAAGGGTTAGGGGTGTTCCTATGCATGCAAACCACGGTAAAATCACTGTAACTTGCAGACATGAGTGGCTAATCGATTATGTGGAATAATATGAAAAATACACAATTATTGCATCAACAGTTGCATATATTATTAATTATTATGGAAATAAACAACTATTCCAGAAAATAATGTAGTTCATTATCTTAAATATAGGGATATAACAGAAAATGTTTGTCACAACATTGCTATGCAGCTGCCATGGTATTCTGACTGGTTGTTAGCATGTTGCCTGGTAGTTGCTTGAGTAATCAAGATGGTTTCTAAGGTGTTGCTACAGTTGTATTGCTAGGTCATCGATAGGTTGATTTGTGTGGTTGCATGGCTATGCATTTACTAAGAGTTGCTAGAGTATTGCTAGAGTGTTGTGGGTGTTTTTAGAGTGTTTTTTATTCAATAATTAGCACAAATGGAGGTATTTTTCATGGTTGTTTCATAAATGTGTGGGATGAGTTATGTGTCGATGTCTTGAGCAGAAGATGAAGCAGCAGCACAGGTAATAACTTTAGTGATGCTTAACAAAGCCCAACAATAACCTTATAAAGATGTGTATTCTACGTACAAGCATTGTAGAAAATGTTACCAGGTTGTACCTGATGCTCTTGTTGGTATTGCTGGAGGTCTCCCACAGTCTTTGCACTGGCAGCCTGCTGCTGGTGGCCAATGAGGCGGTTTTCTGTCTGTGTCAGATCATCAAACAGCTCCTGCAGCTTTTCTGAAAACTCCCTCTGCTTCTCCACAGCAGCCTATAACATAAAGACTCAGTTAGAAAAGAAACCTCTTCCACAGAGCTAAAGCAGCATCACACAAAATACTGAGCATTGAACCATTAGTAGTGACTGAGTATGCTGTAAACATGCCAGCAATTCAAAGGGGTTTTGGCAATGGAAAAGAAAGGTGGGTTAGTGCTGCCTTTACTGTTCACACAGAATAAAACGCTGGTCCTTTGGTAGTAAGAGCTGAATAGGTTCAGGCAGCCTGAAAAATGCACACATGAACAGAACAAGGTAAGTTGGTGGCAGTGATCAAGCCATGGCTTTTCTGTGTTGTAAATAGAAAAAAGTCATGTATAAACAAAATAGTCATGTGATTAAACTCAGCAAAACACACACGTACACACAAATAATACATTCATGAATAGTCCATTTTGACTTAAAAACATAATTAAAACTCTTTATAAAGACCCCGTGAAGTAGAAAATTTAGGGGTTTTTTTGGCTTATAGTGCATACCAGCTTTGAGACTAAAATTTGCACTACATGCTAGTGTACTCCTAAAAGTTGGTAAAAATAACAAAAAAAATAGTGATTACCCATGGGCATATCCAGATTTTGCAGCCATAAGTAGCAAGATATTGTCTGTGCCTTAAACAAAATAATACTTTAAGGGGTCTTTTGGGTTACCTCTTAAATGGCAATCCATTTTCCAACACTTGATATCAAAATATACAACATATCAAAGCAACAAATATATCTTCATGCATTTTCATGTGATTAGGTACTGTAAAGGTCAATGGTCAGTGTGATCTCTTCCATCTCTCTCAGACCTTATGCTGATTCTCCTCCTCACGGATCTCCAGTTGGACCTCTAGAGTTTGTCTCTGAGTGAAGACTCTGTCCATGAGCTCTTTGTAGGATCTCTGGGTAGCGCTGAGAGCCCTTAGAAGGTATCTGCTATGAGTCGGACTCAGGAACTGAGCATGCTCAGAAATGAAGTTTTGGATATCAAAAGCAGCGTCTTCCAGGAGCTGCCGGGTTCCTGATAAGTCTTTCTCTATGTCCTGAATCAGGAACAATTAAAAACACTAAGTAAAACTCACCAGACTTCATTTGATGTGGTAGATAAACCGTACTTTTAACTGTATAAAAACATTGTATTTCAGGCAACTTTAGCAATATTTTCCAATAACGTACAAGACAACTTACCTTATTTTGCTGAACCTTGTTCTTAGTTCTTTCTATGTTATCAGCATCCATGATATCAAGCTTAGACACCATCTCATAATTGCCTTGTATACAAGCTGAGACCTTATCAAGACAGCTTAGCAAATCTTGATATGAGGTTTCCAAATGGACCTGTAACCCATATTTGAACAACTGTGAGAATATAATTTTCATCATTCTCTATTGCTCTTGCTTTCTTTTCATACGTCTTTACTAACCTTCACTGTTTCAACGGCTAGTAGAATAGCATTACTTCGCTCAGCTGACAAGTGGCAAACATCTGTGAAAGCATTCTGTAAATCTACATAGACTGCAGCCAAATCTTGGTGGATTTGCATGGGAATGAGCTCATCAGCGGAATTCAGAAGTTGCTCTGCTACGGTCAAATCTGCTGTAAGCAAGTCAGGAAGAGCAGCAATCTGTGCTTCCAGCGACTGGAAACAGAGTGGGTGGGAGTAGTTGGGGAACAAAAGGAAGGAATTGTGAAGAAGAGCGACAGAGTAAAGGAACAAGCAATAGACTACAGCACAGATAACCATGCAGACAGAAAGCACTGGCAAACTGGAGTATTTGGGGTCTGCGGGTTAAGAGAATTTCTGTCAAGTGAAAAGAGAGGCTTTATATTTTATAAGTGACAAACCTGAACTTCCTCTAATTGACTATGCAACCCCTCAATGTCTTCTGCTAATGGACCCTTGGTCTGCAAGTCACTTCTTATATCTTCAAGAGTATCGCAATGATCCTGAAGCCTCCCAACACATTCCAAGTAATTCTGGGTGGAATATCTCTGCAAGAAGTACACCATTATACTTACACCTTTATCCAAAACATGCATCTGGATGACGCAGATTTGATAATACTTTGCAAATCACAGCTCAGCTGAGAGTAGTATCAGTACTCACTCTCAGTTTGACGCCATCTGTTTGCTTTATGTTTGGATCCTCTGCCATGGAGACCTGGTGGATAGAGCCGATTGGTTGGAAGGCATCATCTGTAGCAGCAGCATATGTGGTTGGAACAGCAATGCTTTTAGCTTCCATGCTTTCATCTCTCAGGGCAGTGCACTCCAAAAAACTGCTTAGCTTTCCATCCACTTCCTTGAGCATTTCTTGATCTCTGCTTGTGGAGATCCTCTGAATCATCACCAGCAGATCAGTCTGATGCTTTAGTTCATCATTACTTTCATCAGATGGCCAGTTCTGAGCTTCTCTTGGTCCTTCATGTTTTTTCAAATCCATAAGGATATCTGGATCCCCACCTCTCTCATTTGAGTTGGGATGATTGGTTGGTGAGATTCCAGAGTGGTGCTGAATAATTTCAATAATGCTATCGATGGTTTGGCTTTTTTGTTTTCGAGTCTTGTCCATACTTGCTCCATCCATCTTCATTTGGATTAACGCATTTAAAAAAGACTTTAAATCCCTGCTTCCCATTGATTTCGGTAAACTTTCATCTTCGGCCATCACCATGTGAGGTAAATGAAGGTCATCCTGGTGTACACCTTCAGCAACCACTGTATCTCCAGCTTGAGACTGGTTGAAGATGTCTGCACTTTGTTCGCTATTCTGATCAAGCATGATTTTGACGGAAGGACTTGGAATTTGGCGGGCAGACTGCAATTCATTGGATTCTGCGAACATATCCTCTGAAGAATGACCCGAGGATGACTCTAGTATTTCTACCACATCTTTTACTCGTTTATCATTGTGACTTGTAAAGTCTGATTCAGATGACCTGGCTAACTCATCTTTTGTAGTGGCCTTTGGGGCTACATGATTACAAAATATGCCTTGCTCACTTGGGTGCTGTATGTTATGATTACCTCCACTTGAATCAACTTGACTAGAATTAGTAACAAATTCGAGTGGCAACTGCTTGGAATTTACTGTTGATCCAGCTAAATCTATCAAACTGAGCTGATGTGTGTCCTCGGATCCTTTGAAACCCACAGAGTCTTCAATGTCATCATTCTCTTCTACCTTATAATCAATACTGCTTTCTGTACAGACCACTCTGGGCTCAGGTTTTGTTTTTGGTGCATTTCTGAACATTTCTGACATGTCCTCATACTTAACCATCTCTAGCACTTTATTCTCTGAACTAAACGCATCTGAATCCTCAGAATGCTCATGATCTAGGTCCTCACTTACATTATTGGCATATTCAACTTTATATGATGCATGCACTTTCTCATTCGATAAATTCTGAGCTAATGTGGACTGATCATCAGTACTTAAATCCACCTCTGTTGCAGTCTCCATTGGTGACTTGGCACTTGCACAACATAAAGACGAGGTTGACTGTGCTTCTGCAAGTATTCTAACTTGTCCAACATCTTCCACCATTGGTAGCGAAGTGCTCAAGCTCTCAGAGAGACCTTTGTCAAAACATGCATTTGTTGTTTCAGACTCCACTTTGGACCTGTTGAATTCCTGTTCAGGATTAAGTATACTCTCTGATTTCCTTTCTTCGGAGCAGATATCACTTTGTGATGAACACGATATTCTAGAGTCACTCTGCACAGGACTAACAACCTGACTCGCCGTAGTCTCAAGATATGCCATCTGCCTGATACATGGTGAAGGACTTACAGTTTCACAAGAAACATCAACAACAAAAGGGTCTACGCTGTTATTTGGCCTTTTTATCTCATTTCCTTCCAAAGTGAAACTTCCTTTTCTTTCATCTGTTGTGTCTATCTCATTTTTAAAATCCATAGTCTTGAAATTACCACATCGTACATCACAATCCTCCCCTATTTCATTAGTCTCAGAAACTTTATCAAACATATCGTCTTTTGCTGAAATGGCTTTAGACGGCATGCCACAAATGGTGAGTAACAGAAGATCCTGACTACTGCTCACACATGCTATGTCGGTAGATACCTGTGTGGCTTCATCTGATCTCAAGCTTATTTGTCCTCTTTTTGCTAAATCAGGCACCATGATGTCTTCCCTTTCATTCTGCTGTGAATGTAGCATCCCCTCAGCCTCTTCATCATCCAACATCCCAGACTGATGGGCATCATTTACACTGAGCACACACTTCCCCTCTGGATCAATGATGGCCTTCCTGATTGCCTCTGAATAGAGAACACTTCTGCTGAGATCATCAGTAATCAGACCCGTCTCTAAAGCATCACAAACGCTAATGGTTCTTCCAACTGCTGCATCATAGAAACCACCAAGAAGGTTCTGCTTTTCCATGATCTGTAGTGCTACCTTACTTGAGATGCAGCCTTTACTGACAGAAATTTTCAGAACTGACAAAGCAGCATTTTCGTTCTCTTTCAAACCATCCTCTTGAAGCTGCAGTGCGAGTACTTCTAAGACAGTCTCTTCATCAATAAGGCCTTTATCGAGAGCAGCTGCAAGGTCATACCGTTTTCCAGAGGTGACATCCAAAATCCCACCTTCCTCCACTTGTGCCCTAAGAAGATGGATGGCATAATCTCTCTCAAGTTTGTCATCCCACACAACATCTGTATGTGGAAATTCAGAGGGCATTTCTGTATAGCTGGTTGTTTCACTGGACGATAGTGGTGAGTGTTTTGAATGTTTTTCCTGGTCTTTACTGGCATCATGACATTCGGGATTCACTTCCATCGAGCACAGACTTGAGGCAGTTGCTGCTATAGAAAAGGCTGTTTGTGGTAACTGCATTGCATTCGACGGCTGAGTGGAAGCTACGTCACTTATGTCTAATTGGCACTTGTCTGTGTATGAACTTTTAGAATCCTTAGGCAGTTTGTTAGTTTCAATTACAGGCATATGTTCAACACTGTCTAGGAAAATATCACATTTGTGATCTGTTTCTACAGTATTTACAACCGATTCAGAGGGTAGAGTAGGTTTTAGGCAATTCTGTAATGCATTGGAATTCACCACTTCATGCTCTTCTTCTGTTGTGCTTTCCAAAGATTCACATATTTGCAATTCTCCCAAAGCACTATAATCGACATTCAGACTAGCGTTGGCATTGTCAGGAATGCTGTTATTCAGTGGAGGCTCTTCTGAAACATTCATATAAAGTCCGCTAATCTCATCTACATCTTCTGATTCTGATGTTTCAAAGAGTAATTTAGCCATTTTATTTAACTGCCAATCAAAGATCAACAGCCTTTGGCCTGACTTTGGATCCATATAGCTATTCATCATGAGGTAGGAAATAAATAACTGTTTCGCCTCAGAGGGAGATGGTCCATCTGAGCTGTTTTCGTCACTGATTTCTTCACCGGATGAACAAGATCCATCGATTTGAAGCTCCCGCATTACCAGCCAGGATGAAAACCTGTTATTCAGTTCATCTATATCAGGGACCACATCTGGGATTTCTATGGTCTTCAACAACTCTTTTGTAAATGTCTCAATTAAGTTATTCTCCCCCGCAGAATCAATGTCAGCTACCTCAGAGGTTTCAGGTATGTACAAGGCTGTTATTTTGTGCCGGTTATGCAGCAGCTCAGACGCCAGTTTGTCTGTGATTATGTTTTGCTGAAGAGAGGTGGAGAACGAGAGAATTTCACCAGCGTTAGGCCAAAGGAGACCCATGAAGGCTTTCTGTCTCTCCAGAACTAACAACGCACTGCTGGAGCTTATTAAGTCACACTGGACAGCCTCATCGACTGTAAGTCTCGCCCCGTTGCAAGGATTAACAATGCCACCATTTTGGGCCTGATGGCTCAGTATCTCACTCGCAGTGTCCTGATCGATCAGACCCTCGGATAAGGCCTCCTCAACAGTCAGCTTTCGGCCAGTTTTGGCGTCAGCTATGCCTCCAGCAAACAACTGGGTGCTCAGCAACCGAAACATGGTCTCTCTATCAATGATGCCCTCGTGCATGGCTTTCATAATGTTGATCTCTCTTCCAGATGTCAGGGATATAGTTCCATCTTTTCTACGTTTCACTGGAAGCAGGCGAAGTCCTGTCCGCTCGTGCATCATGCTTCTCTGCACAAGCTGACTAAGTGTGACTTTTTCTGCAGTGTTGGGGTCAATCAAGTTCTTCCAACTATCCTTCCTCTCCAATATCTGGATAAACAGTGACTCGGGTATCAGGCCAAGTTGAAAAGCCCTTTCCAGATGTAGAATATCACCAGTGTATGTCGGTCTTAACCCTCCAGTTGCAAGCTGGATTTCAATGATCTTTATTGCTGTTTGCTCAGATATAGCCCCATTTTCCAGGGCTGTTATAACCGGCAAGGGTTCTAAAGCAAATTGGAGATTCTGAAGACATTTTTTAGCTTCATTCAACTCTTGCAGTTGCTTGCACATCGCGTCATCCACAAGTCTGTTCTTGAATGCGTCCTCCAAATCCATATACAAGTGCTGTTCAGGCCAAATGAGTCCAGTGGTTATAAGCTGTGCCTCTAGAAGACCAAGTCCTGTGTTTTGGTTGATGAAGCCATTGTTCACAGAGTAACACACAGACATGACAGCTCCACTTTCAACATCCAGAATCCCTTGGATGACCTGCAGTGCCTGGAAAGAGATAACAGAAATCAGGATGTTTCTAAATGCATGTTCAAACATGATCACTAGATACATTTCCATTGCAATATTGGTTATAAAAATGATCAAACATACTCACCCGGTCCATGGATTGGACTAGCTCGTGTGCAACAGTGCAAGTCATCAGCAAGAGAAATGGCACACAATAAAAGCTTACATGCATCTGTGAAGGATCCATATAGCTATTCATCATGAGGTAGGAAATAAATAACTGTTTCGCCTCAGAGGGAGATGGTCCATCTGAGCTGTTTTCGTCACTGATTTCTTCACCGGATGAACAAGATCCATCGATTTGAAGCTCCCGCATTACCAGCCAGGATGAAAACCTGTTATTCAGTTCATCTATATCAGGGACCACATCTGGGATTTCTATGGTCTTCAACAACTCTTTTGTAAATGTCTCAATTAAGTTATTCTCCCCCGCAGAATCAATGTCAGCTACCTCAGAGGTTTCAGGTATGTACAAGGCTGTTATTTTGTGCCGGTTATGCAGCAGCTCAGACGCCAGTTTGTCTGTGATTATGTTTTGCTGAAGAGAGGTGGAGAACGAGAGAATTTCACCAGCGTTAGGCCAAAGGAGACCCATGAAGGCTTTCTGTCTCTCCAGAACTAACAACGCACTGCTGGAGCTTATTAAGTCACACTGGACAGCCTCATCGACTGTAAGTCTCGCCCCGTTGCAAGGATTAACAATGCCACCATTTTGGGCCTGATGGCTCAGTATCTCACTCGCAGTGTCCTGATCGATCAGACCCTCAGATAAGGCCTCCTCAACAGTCAGCTTTCGGCCAGTTTTGGCGTCAGCTATGCCTCCAGCAAACAACTGGGTGCTCAGCAACCGAAACATGGTCTCTCTATCAATGATGCCCTCGTGCATGGCTTTCATAATGTTGATCTCTCTTCCAGATGTCAGGGATATAGTTCCATCTTTTCTACGTTTCACTGGAAGCAGGCGAAGTCCTGTCCGCTCGTGCATCATGCTTCTCTGCACAAGCTGACTAAGTGTGACTTTTTCTGCAGTGTTGGGGTCAATCAAGTTCTTCCATGTGTCCTTCTTCTCCAATATCTGGATAAAGAGCGACTGAGGTATCAGGCCAAGTTGAAAAGCCCCTTCCAGATGTAGAATATCACCAGTGTATGTCAGTCTTAACCCTCCAGTCGCTAGCTGGATTTCAATGACCTTCATAGCTGTTTGCTCAGATATAGCCCCATTTTCCAGCGCTGCCATAACCGGCAAGGGTTCTAAAGCAAACTGAAGATCCTGAAGACATTTTTTAGTTTCATTCAAGTCTTGCAGTTGCTTGCGCATTGCATTATCCACAAGTTTGTTCTTGAATGCTTCCTCTAAGTCCATATACAAGTGCTGTTCAGGCCAAATGAGTCCAGTGGTTATAAGCTGTGCCTCTAGAAGACCAAGTCCTGTGTTTTGGTTGATGAAGCCATTGTTCACAGAGTAACACACAGACATGACAGCTCCACTTTCAACATCCAGAATCCCTTGGATGACCTGCAGTGCCTGGAAAGAGATGAAAGAAATCAAGATGTTTCTAAATGTACGTTCAAACATGATCACTACATACATTTTCATTACCGTCTTGGTTATAAATACGATCAAACATACTCACCCGGTCTATGGATTGTACTAGCTCAGAGCAAGTCATCAGCAAGAGAATGGGACACAATATAAGCTTACATGCATCTGTGAACAGAAATCTTAGTATTTTGTAGAACAACAGAGTTAGAGAAAACAAGCTGAGCATTATGTTATTATGTGCAGTGTGCTGAACCCCATGGGAGACAAAAAGAATGTCCTCTGAGTTTGCTGTGAAGAAAGAGTGTGAGTGGCTGACATGCAATGTACGTTTACAGCATACTCAGTTTTCAATTACACACATTCTTGATGGAGTCTTTCTCCATTTTTGCAGTGGTGGCACTGAAGGGTTAAAGAGGCTTTTGGAAACCGTCTTATCATGCTATATATATTTTAAGCTGTCAAAACAAAGGTTAGTCATGCCGTTGGAGAGTGTTTACACTTCACACACAACCACTTCCATATACAGTATAACCAGCATTTGGTTGACAGTGGCAGAATATCCTTATCTCACCTGATCAGCTGAGGAAGCTGCATCTGCACACTGTTGAGAGAGCTCGCTGTAGGCCTGATGAAGAGATTTCAGCTGTTCTTTTCCTTCTTGCTTTTCTTCTTCAGTCATTCTGGTGAAAGAAAACATTTCACACAAATTTTTGCAAAAATCAGAAATTGCTTAAAACAACACAGACAAGCGCATGCAAATAAGCAATGCTATTAGAGTCGCAATTCATTCTCAGTGAATTCTTTCCCTTCCATTGACATAACATACTTGTCACTGTGTTTGGTTAGCATAAGCTGGGTAGTTCTCAATGCTTCTCCAATTTGTTCCTTCTTTGTCACCATCTCCTCCAGTGACATCTATAATAGAACATAAAAAAATCAATAAAGCTTTACAAGCACAGTGTTTAGTAAATCACAATTAGGTTAAAGGAACACTCCACTATTTTTGAAAATAGGCTCATTTTTCAACTCCCCTAGAGTTAAACAGTTGAGTTTTACCGTTTTCGAATCCATTCAGCCGATCTCCGGGTCTGGCGGTAGCACTTTTAGCTGTTTCAACTGCACTTTTAAAACTACTTCATCCAACATCTACTATAGGCCATTTAACCATTTGAAATCAGATAAATGTTTACTGAACCATTAGTCATACAATTTGCAGAAAATGTGGGGACATGATACTACTGAACATTTGAAAACCAATTCCACGATTTGATCTTATATGTTTATTGGGGTCCAAAGGTCTAAGACTTAAACTAAAACAGTAAAGAAATGAAGTTAAAACAAGAAGATATTGTGATTCCCATCTATACATCCATCCATTTTCCAAATGACTTATCCTCTGTAGGGTCACTGGGATGCTTGAGACTATCCCAGCATCTCAGGCCACAGGTGGGGGAAAATTCTGGACAACAGACAACTTAGGGCCAGGTTTACTAAACAGGGCAAATTGGCATAAGAGCGCAATTCCAAAAAAACGCTAATGGGAGTGTAAATTTCTGCGGGTGATTTACTAACAATGCATAAATGAAAGAACACAGATGCAGCCAGATCATTTCCATAATGACCAACACAATCTACAAAGAGTAGCGCAAATTAGCGTCTGCTTTCAGACATGTTTTTTTGAAAGGTAAACTCCTACAAATGCATATTCAGTAAGGTCATGCGCATAAATAACTGTATCCACGCCTTTTCAGAGCTAATTCTTCACTGCGCGTCTTTAGTAAATCCTGACCGTACTATTTTAACGACAAAAGATGGTTTGTGCCGGTGCAAGTTGTTAATAAATCTGGCCCTTAGTGTCTCCTATTCTCCATGTCTTTGGATTGTGGGAGAAATCAGAGCACCCAGTCACAAGGAGAACATGCAAACTCCACACAGAAAGGCCTCCTGACTCAGCCGGGACTTGAACCAGGAACCTTCTTGCTGTGAGGTGACAGTGCTACCCACTAAACCACCCCGATATTCTAATTTATTATGTAATCATTTATAGATAAATGATCAAGTTTGTGACCATGTGAACTTCTTTGTACAAAAGTTACTGAATAAAAGTGCTCTTGGGAACATACACAAATCATGCTGGATGACATGATCATCAAGTTCTACATACACGTATGGAGTTTGTGATATTAAAGCAAAAAGGGGGGATACACTTAATACAGATTCTTAAATTCATGTCATTTTTTTCTGTAATGATTTCCACTCAAATTGTTATGCTGATAATATGGTTGTAATGAACAGAAAATGTAAAATACAAGCATTTCCACAAGTGGCCTCAGACTTTTGGATCCCAATGTATTTTTAGAGACATGTTGCCATGTTTATTTAAACATCAGGATTGAGTTATAAATCTTTTGTTTGGAAAAGTATATGGAAGAAGGTCTGTCATTAGGGATGTGACATTGTAGATGGATGAATGGTCATTCAGACAACTTTCTAATTTGAGAAACAGTTTATTTTACATGGCATGTAAATTGTTCTCTGCTTTGGGTCAGTCAACAGAACATTTACCACCTAAATGACTTGGCTCTGACAACCAAGCAGCACTCCAAAATGAGTGATGAAATGTAGAGATATAACAGCATCACTGAAGCAGGGAATTTCATAACCACCAAAGAATGCAGTGATTTAATGTCCAGTGTAATTTGTACAGTTTATCACACTGTACATGTACGTTGTAAATGTATCTGACTGAGCCACATGTGTACTTATGGATACATGTTTACTGGATTATCACTGTTGTCCCTTGTGTAACAGTGAAAAATAGGATGTAACCTGATGACTGATCCAGATGTGATCTAACAAAATAGTGATTATTGTGATTACATCAATTACTACTTGAAATGAATGGGTAGATACTTTATGGGTAAATACTTTCTGTGAAATGTGGGTGGATAACAGAAGCAAGTAACAAGTATGTGACAACACAAAAATATGAAGAGATACACAATAATATCTTTATTCAGAAACATAACAATGGAAATGTGTATGTTCTGATGTGTTTGACATTAGCAACGTTTGGAAATGATGAAAGCAGTTCCCTGAAATGCTCACTATGTTGACAAGATGCTGACATTAAAACAGCTACAGATGAATTAAACCGTAAGATCCAAAGCTGAAGACCTGTTGAACAAAACAATGAAAAAACAATCAGGTAGTTTGACTTGTTTACCTGGGGCTTACTAGTGCCCTCAGTGCTGGGTTTGCCATCACTTTGAGCCTTTCCATCTTTGTTTGGATTCGTTTTCATCCAATTTAACAACTTGTTAACCTTATCGCCATGCTCTTTCTTCTCATCCTCAACAGACCTCTAAAATCATTGGGGAAAAAATTGTATGGTGGATTAGAAAACAATGTAAAACTTTCATAATTAACAAAATAATGTCTATGTTTGGATACAATATACAACATGAAATCAGCAGGTCTATAAGCTCCCAGCCATTTTACATGGAAGCATGCTTGACAATAAATTAAAAATGCCATTGAAAAGAAAAAAAAAGTATACAAGACATTTTTAAATAACATCTTACAGTAGAAAAAAAACCCACATTTAAAGTCTCCCATTTTCACCAACATGACTTAGATATCTTTCAGGATAAAAAAAAACTTATTTTATTTTAGATAATGCTCCACCACAAAGGGACATGTCAATTACTTTTTCTGCCATTCACCAAAAATGGCCTGATATTAGATAGACACTGTCCAGAACCACATCAGAAGTGCCGATAGGTCCAGAAGTATTGGAAGGATGAAGTATTGCCAGTACTATGGGGTTTTGTTGCTTCAATAACATCTTACAGTAGAAAAAAACCCCACATTTAAAGTCTCCCATTTTCACCAACATGACTTAGATATCTTTCAGGATAAAAAAAACTTATTTTATTTTAGATAATGCTCCACCACAAAGGGACATGTCAATTACTTTTTCTGCCATTCACCAAAAATGGCCTGATATTAGATAGACACTGTCCAGAACCACATCAGAAGTGCCGATAGGTCCAGAAGTATTGGAAGGATGAAGTATTGCCAGTACTATGGGGTTTTGTTGCTTCAAGAAGGACAAACCCAGTGTGGCTGTCAAAGACACTCTTTTCTAGAGCTTCCTTGAGAGACATTTTTCGCTTGGTTTTGAGGCAGGTGATACATTTCGAATGGGAATTGTCATGTTGAAGATGTGCAGCAGTTGCTTTGTCGATCAAGCAATTCTGTATCGCATCCTCCAAAGAGACTCTCTCTTGGCTCTCTGGGTTAATGAGCCCACCAGTCGCCAGTTGAAACTCAAGACACTTCACTCCAACATCTTTCGGGAAAAGGTTCTCTTGCATCGCCTGGGCCACAGTCAAAGTCTTTCCATTCTGAGGGTGAATGATACCATAATAGGCTTGCTCACATTGCTGGAGCTGTCTGGCAAAACCTTCATCCAAGAGTCCTCGATGTTGTGCTTCTTTAACCAGAACCCTTTCTCCAGATGCTGGATCACAGATGCCTCCAGTGCAAGCCTGAGCTTCTAGCAACCTCAGCGCGGTGAGTCGGTCCACAAGGTTCTGCTGGTGTCCTTTGAAAACCGGGAGTCGTTTCTTCAAAGAAACATCCCAGAGTCCTGCAACGGGACTGTTTGGAACTTTAAAGACAACTCTTCTGGAAATCAAAAGATCAGCGAGCTCAGAAATACTGAGCTGACCACTCCGGTAGCTGTTGAGCTCTTCCATTTGGAGAATTTTCAGACTAAGAGCATTTTCAATGCAAAGCTGCCGCCCACTCTTAGGGTCTGTTAGGATGTGTAGAAGGTTCCTACTTGAGTCCATGATTGTTATCTCCTGCCATTCGCTCTCTTGTTGTGAGAGAAATAGGTAAATTCTCTTGTCAATGTGGCCGGCCTTATATGCTTCGTAGGCTGACATTTTCGCACCATTAGAAGTGTCGATGACTGATATCCTGTGTTTGCTGGATGGTGAGAGGGTGTACAGATGCTGGTCACCAAAAGGAAGAAGATATACTCCACCATGGACATCATACACACAGATTCTGAGCAGTTCGCTATAGTACGCCTTCTGCCCTGTTTCTGCGAAGTGAAAATCTTTTGGGTTGCTGACTGGATCGTAGAGACTTTGAAGGGTGGCTTGATTTACAAGCCCCTGCTCTAGCGCACAATCCATGGGTACCCTAATTCCAATCAGTGGGTGAATCAACCCTCCAGTAGCGATCTGCGTTTCTATTAATGCTTTACCTCGATGCCTGTCTAGAATTCTCTCCTCCATAGCTTGAAACACTGAAAGAATCTTCCCAGCATGAGTATAACCACTGACTGCTTTGTAAGCTCCAGTTATTTTGTCCTTGAGATCCCCAGTAATGATATCTTTCTCAAAAGCATCTGACGGCGAGTAAGCTTCACCTGTCATAGGATCAATGATGCATCCTGTGGCAGCTTGTGCTTCCAGAAACTCAATGGCATAGGTTTTAGATATAAATCCTCCTGCAGCAGCATCTAGGAAGGACAGCTTTTTCTTGCTTGACTCCATGTAAACACCTGCAATTGAGGATGGTTTACCAATGAATTGAGCAAGTGATGCTTCTACCTCCTCTATAGTGATGTGGCCTGTTTGCAACTTGAGTGCAATTTCCTGAGTAATTATTTTTGTTTTTACCAGCTTTTTAATACTTATCCGTCCTCTGAGACCTTGAATTTTATTGGAAGACGACTCCATTTTTAGCACTTTTGATTTACTTGTTACAGGCAAGCCAGAAGCAAGATCGATGGAGGAATCAGAATCAATGATATTGAATGAAACAGTCTGACTTTTACCAGACCTGCCTTTATCAGACACTGAGCTTTTCCCAAGTATAGTGTCAGTCATCTCACTCTGACTGTTACCAGCCATCACTTGGTTGTTGTGTAGTTCAAAAGCATTTGAATTCTGAAGTGAAACTGGATTTTCTGTTGCCTTGGTAGCATATTCCAGCGTTCTCTCGTTGATCACTTGCACTTTGCTTTGCTTTACTTTTCGTAGCTCCTCCAGCACTTTTTCCTTTTCCAGTGTAGCTATCTGCAAGCATGAGATCATTTATGCTATTAGTGCATGAAAATATGTCAAAATAAGTGTACATTTTTAATAAATATATTTCATTATATAACAAATGCATTACTTTTATACATTTATATATTAATAAATATTTAAGCAAGAAATAAGGTGAAGTGTGTAATTTCTGCATCAACAGAACTGCAACAAAAAATTATTGTTTCCTTTCTGCCCTTCTCCCCCATCTTCTAATGCTTTTATTCACAAAAGTGAGAATTATTTGCATGCTGAAATTAACATTGCACTATCACTATCTGGGGTAAGCAGGTGGTAAACAGAATTTTAATTATAGTGATCATGGCAGCAATAAATATGCAATTGATTATCAAATTCTGTAAAAGAGAGGTCAACTATCAAATGACACTCGGGTTTGCTTGTTGTCAGAATTTGGTTCATTTGGATGATGTGAACACTGTTTTTCAAACTATGGTATGGTTCATGTGGAATCCAGTACGGTTTGCTGCTGATCTGAATGCAATTGTCCTTAATCGCAGAAACGAACAAAGCCACTGGAAGGCAAGCCTGCAACCTTTAGCCAAAAAGCATAATGGAGGAGAGTCTTCACTACGCTGAATAAACAGCTTATCATTTAATGAATCAACAGCCTATCGGCTAATCTTCAACATGTTTTACTCTGAGCAATACTTTTGGATTGAACTATTTTTAGAGTTTACACTGAAAAAAAAATGCTGTTTTATAAGAGAAGTCACTGACTTTTTGCGACAGGTGGGATTCAGTTTACGGCACTTCTCATTTCATTCCTATGGTATCCGTAAACGGCAACTGAGTGTCACACAACTCTGACTGAAGTTCAATGACGTCAAGGTTGTAATGTGATTAGTTATTAAGGGACACGTGATCCAAGTTGAACGTTACGCTTTCTCCAATAGTAAGTAATACAGACCCTCTCATCTCCCTATAGTAAGACAATCTCTGGAAATTAACCGCTATTGATGAGCTATAGGGCTGTCAAAAAAAATTCGAATATTCGTCGAATTTCAAATAAAAATCCACATTCGAATGCAAAAACGTTGCATTCGAATTTTAAGTGTGTGTCAGGCAGTCTTGTCAGTGGTGCACGAAATCCGATGACGATGTAAGTGTCATTGCATTTTAATGCATTGTTAGCCTATCCAGTTGAACCCACTAGATGCGGCGCTGCTATGTTGTTCATTCAAAATATTGCAGAAAAAAAGAACAATCAATGCGGGGAAGATGTTGTTTACGTAAAAACCGAAACCAAGCCGTTCACACAAAATGCATATTTATCGCATTTTCTAGAGGGACATCTATCACCGTTGCACTCGCGTCTCGCACAAGAGAGACGCATGTTTAGAAAGCTATGTAAAATTAATGTAAGTTCAACTTTTAAAAAACATGTCTCAAGACTTTATTGCTTGGTTTTCCCCATCCCACTGCATCTCAAGTTTTTAAATGAAGAAAGTACTCTTTGTGATTGGTTTTCGGTCCTTTGTATTAAACTATACATACA